ATGGACTGACCAGCTACCCCGTTCTCAGCTTCTCCAGCATGTAGATGGCCGGTGTTGGATTCCCCAGCCTGTCTCTAATAAATTGGCTTTGTAATATATACCCAAATCAATTTTGTTCTTCTATAGAATACTGACTAATGCTGGGTGCTTGAAGTCTGTAAATATCACCCACTTCTTCCCTATGTGTTTGGGATTTTCAGTGATGGCCTCATCAGGACATCACATTAAATTCAAAGGTCCCAGTTAAGAAAATAGTGCAGTGGGTAAGGGCATTGGCTGTGCCCGCATGAGGACATGAGTTTAAACATGTAAAAAGTCAAGTGTGGCTGTCTGTGTATGTCTGTAAGCCCAGCACTGTCGGGGACAGAGAAAGGAGGGTCACTAGAGCTGGTGAGCCATCAGCCTAGCTCCAGATTCATGGAGAGACCCTGTCTCAGGGGAATAAGGCAGAGTCTGACAAAGGACACCCAGCTTCCCCCTCTGATCTCTGTGTGCACACAGGTGTCATACCTAAACACCCGTGTGTGCACACATGCACGTGCAACACACACACACACACACACACACACACACACACACACACACACACACACGATCAAAGCCCCAGGATCAAAGGCCCTGCAGCCAGAAGAGACAGGCTAGCAAATGGGACAGGAACGCTCACATTTATTGAGCACTGAATGTGGTAGATATTTTTTCTGAGCGCTTCAGTGTACATGCCTACCTCATTGTAAATGGGGAAACCAAGGCCTGGGAATCCAAGTGACTTTTAATAAATGTATTCAGTTAGTAGATGGTGGGCTGAGGTTTTAGCCCAGGCAGTGGGGCTTTTAAGGTCTTACCCATCATCCACTCTGCTTTCTGCCTACATAACGCAGAGCCTCAGATACTGGGAGAAGTACCTGCAGCCCTCTGAGAGTCGAGCCACTCAAACTGCAGATTACAGCCGCTTCCTTTGCTGCACAAACAAATCTGCTTAAACGCATAGCCTTGCAAATAGGTGTGTTTCCTTTGAATTTTTTTTTCCAGACAGGATCTCATATGTGAGACCTATGAGTCCAGGCTAGCATTATAGGTCTCATATGTGAGACCTGTGGCCCAGGCTGGCCTTGAACTCACTCAGTGGCTGAGGATAACCTTAAATTTACTTTCATAATCTCCTGCCTCCACATTCTGAGTACTGGGATAACAGGGGTGTGCCACACACCCACTGTACCCAGAGTTTCACACAGGCATGCACTGCCAACCCCTTAGGGTTTCCTTTGGGCACAATGTCTAGAAATGAGAATGGCTGGGATGGAGGTGGCCCTGCTCATCTTTCCCAAGTGTGGCTCTCTAGCGGCTACACGGGCCACACTTTCAACAAGGACGTGTAAGGGAGGTTGTCCTCACACCGTTTCATTTGTTCAGGTGGTCACAAGCTCTCAGGGTTCCAGGTCTGATGGATGTGACCTGGCATGTTACTGCTGCCTAAATCTCACGTTATGGTGCTTCTGTGATATGCGGAACAAATGTTCCAGGACATTTTGAAGAGTAAATGCCAAAGATTTAGAAGTGAGCTGACAGTCCCATCTGGAAGGATGTCCTCTGTGAGTGCAGAGGAGGGTGCCTGCCAGGTAGAGACACATGGAGAGCAGGTGGCGGACTTGCAGGGGAGTGTGCTGCAGGCTGACGGTCCTCAGTGAGGGACTAGGAGGTGGGATCCACAGGTGGATTCTTTCTTTGGTGGTAGACCACGACCAGGTGAAGTCACTTATAGGCTAAGGCACCAGTGTATTACCCAGATCCCGACTGGTGGGTCTGCATCTTGTGTAGTTATTTAGTTTGATTTGTGTGTGTGTGTGTGTGTGTGTGTGTGTGTGTGTGTGTGTGTGTGTGTGTGTGTTTGTGTGTGTGTGTGTGTGTGTGTGTGTGTGTGTGTATGTACTTGTGAGCATGTGCTCGTGGAGGCCAGAGGTCAGCCTTGGTGTCATTCTGCAGGATGCTGCCCACCTGGTGTTTTGAGACAGGGTCTCTCAGTGGCTCGGCGCTCACTGAGTAGGCTAGGCTGGCTGGTCAGTGAGCCATGCCATATTTTGTCTCTTTCTGCCGTACTAGGATTACAAGCGTGTGCCACCAAGCTTGGCTTTTTTACATGAGTTTTGGGGGATACCTTGCAGGATCTATAAAAGTCCTCTCCACTCTCTCTTGTATGACCCCCCACCCCCATGTGTGACCTGTGCAGAGTCTTCATCAGCAAGACCTTCCCCAATAGCCCTCCATCCCCAGAGACTGTATAAACCCCCTTCCCTTAAACACCCGCCTTAACACTGCACCGAATATGCCATCATTTCCAGTGGGACACAGGAAGCTGTATTAGACCCAGTCTTACTGCCCACATGGGGCACTAGGCTGGTTTTAAAACCACATCGCTTACTTCTCAGGGTCTAACATTTTACTAATTATAGAAGCACTGTGAATCTAGGGAGAGTGAACCTTCATTCTCTGTAAACTGTACAACCTGTGGCATTCAATCACAGCAGCAGAAAACAGAGAGGAGGAGACCTTCTATGACTCCTACAGGAGGACCCCAGGTAAGACCCTGGCCCTGTGTTTGCATGGGAGGCCCTGGTTAGCAGGGCAACACTGCAGCATCTACCTGCAGTCCCAGAACAAGGACGTATGCAGAGAGTGGACCAGGGAGTTAGCAGTGCCTGGGGCTGGAGCAGGGGTCAGTAGGATTGGCAATGGGAGTGGGGGGCTTGGGGTAGGGTGGGGCTCAAGGAACCTGCTTCTTCATAGAAAACAGTCTGGAGACCTCTGGGACTCAGGTGACCGACCAGAATTCTATTATTCTGCATCTACCAAAACATTGCCTATTTTACTGTGGCCTTCTGGGGACAACTCCTAGGGAATCATGTATCCAGCTCTGTTGGCTTCATAATGACCTGCTGCCTGCTGCCATGCTGAGGGTAGTCTCCTGCTAAAGCATGGTTTGTCTCTGCACTGGCTACTTGCTCTCAGGCCATTTCCTTACCCCTGGGCCTCGCCCATAGTGCTGGCTCCAGATAAGGCTTGCTATCTTTTTTCATTCAGAACTCATTCCAACAGGGCCTTCAAGCACCTGTAACCTCAGCCACCAGGTTCAGAAGCTCTGGGATCACAGAAATACTTGTGCCTGGTAGCTTCAGGGATCCTGCAATGGCAGGTCAAGGAGCAAACAGGCCATGGCCTCCTTGAGTGGATGACACAGCATAGCATCACTCAGGTCCATCCTAAGGAGGTAAGTGCTCCACAAAACATGCCTTTTGGACCTCCTTCCCTGGGCTGCTGGTGGTCTCGTGGTCGGTCTGTCTGTCTGTCTGTCTGTCTCTCTCTCTCTCTGTGTGTGTGTGTCTGTCTATGTCTGTGTGTTTGTGTGTATGCATTCATGTAAGTGGATGTGTGTGTAGGGGCAACCTTAGGTGTGGTTCCTCAGGTACCACACCTTTGTTTTTTGAGACAAGTGCTATTCACCATTTGAGACAGGATCTCTCACTGGCCTAGGACTTCACCATTTAGTGAGGCTGCCTGGCTAGTGAGCTCATTGGACCCATCTGTCTCCACCTTCACAGTGCTGGGATTACATGCATGTGCTACCATCTGAATTCTTTTTTACATGGGTTTAGGGATCCAACCTGGGCTCGTAGGCTTGCATAGCGAATGTTACTGAAGGAGACATCTCCCCAGTCCTCAATCTCCTTAAAATTTTTTTGTTTTGTTTTTGAGATTTATTTTTTGTTTAATGTATGTGGATGACTTGCCTACATGTATGACTGTGTACCACCTGTGTGCCTGGTGCCCATGGATACCGGAAGAGGGTGTTAGATCCCCTGGAACTGGAGTTACAGACGGTTGTTAGCTGTCATGTGGGTGCTGGGAACCAACCCCAGGTCCTCTGAGAGAGCAGCCAGTGCTCTTAACTGCTGAGCCATCTCTCCAGCCCCTCAACCTCTTTTTAACAAAAGTGAAATACTTTCTTCAAGCCAAGTCTTAGACTGGCAAGATCAAAAGCAGGGAATGGCAGTGGCTTTTTGCCACCTGCTCATCATTTCAGATAAATCATTTCCCTGGAAGTTGCCTACTTTCTCAGAGCCTCATGTGAGTGGGGACCGGGTGGATGTCACTGGTGACTTGGGTCTGCAGTCGTACTCTGCTGTATTCTGGGACCCTTCCCCTGAAATGCGCCACATTTTCCTTGCGCCACACTCTCCAGCACACAGCAGAGCACTTGCCCATGGTCCCCACCGGGCCCAGCTCCGGATCTGTCTGCGCCCTCCGGCAGAAGATGTCCCTTCCCTGCTCCCCCTCCAGACTCACAGTGAAGCAGCACTTCACCCACCCAGCCTCCATCCAGAAGGAGTGGCTCGCAGAACAGTTGGTGACTTGGGACCGTGTTGGTCATGGGGAGACCTGACAAGGGTGGGCCGTACTCAGTCCTGTCTCCCACTAGGCAACAGCAGCAAACATGGGGTCTTTAATATGACGTAGTAAGAGGATAAGTAAGTAAGGTATTGATGGTGTTTTAAAACACAATTTGCTAGTTTTCCATCTATCTTTTCAGAGCTGCGTCTCTGAATGTGAAGCTGAGAACCTGAGGTTCACATGTCATCCCAGGGGGCTCTACCGTGGGTCAGCGCAAGCCTCATGGTGGGATTCAGGTGCCCTTAGGAGCCTGGTCGGCACTGACTGAAAAACTAGCCTGCCATTTCCCAAACAACCACCGGCACAGCCTGTAGTGGAAGGAGGCGGATTACGAATGGGCTTGCCATGGACCATAAACAAATGGAGGGAATTCTGGGTTAATAAAATGTAAATTTCATTCCTTGAGAAAGCCTCAGTGCCCTGCTCAGGAACAAAAGAAGCCTGTGATGCTCTGTGTCCAGGAGATGCTGCTGTTGGCATGATTTGTTCCACCCACCCCATTGTCTGATAGAAACAGGAGAGAGCAAATCTCTCTCCTCCACCCCAGTGTTCCTTACCTAGAATCACACCATTGGGCTCCTCCGGGGGCTGCCACACGATCCGCACCGCAGTTAGCCTCACTTCAGGGAACACCAGCCGCACGGGGGGACCTGGGGCTGAAGGAAAGCACAGTGAGGCAGGGACGTATAGGGTTCTGTGGCCAGCCTCACGCTCTAATGACGAACTCGGGTCTCCTCGGAGGGGGCCCCACGCTTTCATTTTTTAATTTATGTCTCAGAAATTGATTTACCCTTTTAAAACTGTTCATTTATTTATGTGTCTGTGTCTGTGATATGTGTGCATGTGTGCAGCCATTTGTCTGTGGAGGCCAGAAGAAGGCGTCAGATCTTCTGGAGCTGGAGTTACAGGCAGTTAAGAGCTGCCCAATACGGGTCCTAGGAATTGAACACCGGGAGAAGAGCAAGCATTCTACACTGCTGAGTCAGCTTTCCAGCCCTTAGTTTGTATTTTGTATCTGGCTTTTTATGTGGGCTTTAGGGATTTGAACTCAGGTCCTCATGCTTATTCAGCAGGTACTTTGCAGACTCTGTCATCTTCCCAGGCCATGTTTTCAGTGAAGGACTTTGGGACCCTCAGTGGCTCCAGGCGACTCCCCAACGATTTTGCATCCTGACCATCTGGCTTAGAAAACCATGCTGAGAAACGATGCCTCCATGACTTGAGAGGACAGCTCATGGCAACGCTAGCCTGAGGGTCACCTAAGGCTTCGCTGGGTTTGACGTTTGTAGAGCAGGTGACTGGCAACTAGGACGGAGCATATTGACTGTCAGCTGGGCAGGATCTACAATCACCTGGGAGACACACCTCTGGCCATGTCTGTGGGGTTTCCAGATTGGGTTAACTGAGGGGAGAAGACCCATTCTGAATACGGATGACCCCATCCCATGGGCTGGGGTCCTGGACTGAATAAAAAGGAGAAAGCAAGCTGACCACCAGCATCCATCTCTCTCTGCTTCCTGACTGTGGATGCAAAATGACCAGCTACCTCATGTTCCTGCCACCAAACTTCACTACCATGATGGTCTACATACCCTTGAGCTATGAGCAGAGTAAACCTTTTTCCCCAAAGCTGCTTTTGCTAGGTATTTGGTTATAGCCACAACAAAGGTAACCAATACAAGGTGATTTATCCCTTAGTTTCCCCTCAACCACTGAAGAAGCACACTGACAACCAAGGCTTTCTGGCCAATGCCTGCCTCACCTCACCTGCCCTGTCTTAGAAACTTCAGAGCCAATGTTCACAGACGCGTATAATAATTCTTCTGTGTGGTTCAGTGCACCGATAATTTAAAACGCAGTGATGTCTTGTGGAACGATTGAATAATAGGGTCTCAGCCCTCATAAAACATATTTGCTTAAATGGATAGGAAGTTAGTGTGTGGCCAGTGTGAGAGCGTCTCATCAGACTTAATCATGGATTGATTCCCACGCAATGGCCAGGAGCAATTGGTGCAGAAACAGAATGTGGGGAATGTCCATTCTGGGTGGGCGAATCTGGACATGTGTAATGATACCTATGCATGGGTAAAGTAAATGTCCAAAGGAGGCCACAGGCTTGAACATCAGGACTCATTTATAACACCAGGGTGACATAGCAATGACCTTCTGAGCTGTCCCCAAGGCACAACAGATTGTGTCAAAATGAAGAGAGAAGACATGTTTATATAAATAATACAGCAATAAAAGAGAATAATCATTGCCTGACTACATGTGTCCTTTAGAAAGAATGATGGCAGTGGACATTGAGGGACAGGTTTTTTTTTTAAATGTCTTTACTTTCTTTTCATAGCACTAAGCTGAAGCGTGCCCACACAGGTGATTGGTGCAACTTGGACTAACATGGCCAACTATCTATTTCCCCTGTACTATCCATCTACCCCTAACCCCTCACCCTGGAGACAGCTGAAGGATAATCCCACGGAAGCAGTGATGGTTGTGACTGTCAGTGTGACAGGATCTAGAATCACCTAAGAGACAGACTCTAGGCATGTCCATGACAGTTTCGAGATTCAGCTAATTGAGGTGGGATGACTCATCCTAAGTGTGACAGACCCCATCCCACGGGCTGGGTCCTGGACTGAATGAAAAGGAGAAAGTGAGCTGAGCACCAGCATCCATCTCCCTGCTTCCTGACTGTGGATACAATGTGACCAGCTGACTCACACTCCTGCCGCTAGGCCTTTCTGCCATGATGGCCTGCACCCTCCAACTGTGCAAAGAGCCCAAATCAATCCCTTCCACAAAGCTACTTCTCGGACACAGGTCACAGCAATGAGAAGTAATATGGAGCCCAGGCCAGATCGCACACTATGGAAGAGGGGGACAGGGCTCTTTTAATGGAGCAAGTGGAGTAGTGGCTCATTAGCCATTCCAAGGAGATGCTTCAACAGCCCTGTTGTTTTCTCCGTCCTGTCAGACACTTCCGATCCCGAGGTGGGTGTTTGGGTAGATCAGTATTTTCCCCCTGACATATTCATTATGGCCTGTTTAATAACGAACGTGTGAAGGAGCTAACCTTTAAGTGTTTGACATCTGCAAAGTGGAAAAACATATTTACCGATGATTTAGACTTCCATAAAAACAAAGCCAGCAAGATGCGCTTGTTACTCAAATCTGGAAGCACCAGAGCCTGGGGACCCCTGGGTGCTGTCAAATATGCTGCTCTCTGTGCAGGAATGTGCAATTAGCAATCTGAAGGCAATGGTGAGACCTGCCATCCCCATGAGAAAGGACACCCGGGTCCAGTGAGGAGTCTGATCTAGATCTGTAGAGCTGCTACTAAGTGGATGGGCTCATGTCTCATAATCTAGCCCACCCTCACGAGCCCTTGCCCACAGCATAGTTAGGATCGAGATGCCGCACAGTCCATAATCAGGCCGTAAAAACCCTCTCTGGGCTCAAATTAGCCACATAAACACCCAGTGACTGGAAAACAATTTTGTTTTGTTTCCCTCCACTAGAAAAAAAAAAAAAGAAAAGAAATGGTTGAAAATTTACACTAAAAACAACTTCAGTCCAAACTGTTTGGATTGGAAAACTAAGGCAGAAGGGAGTAGGGCCAGTGTGTACTTACTGTCATCTTTGGTACGCTCCAGGACGAGGGGCGAGCTAGGGACTCCGTTCCCGATACGTGTGAACGCCAGCACCTGGAGCTCATACACCACGAACTTGCGCAGGCCAGCCAGCAGGGCAGACTGTGTATGGTTCCCTCGAACCACGTGGCTTCTGGGCTCTGGATCCAGGTCTTTGGCACGGTACAGAATCTGAAGCATCAACACACACATGCAGATGGTTACAGCTAAGTGCGTGCTTGGAAGGGGACTCCCTGTGCACAGGGTACCAGCTCAGAACCAACCGGCAGGGACCACCCAACTGTGGTTTCTCCACAAGGGCAGCTATTAAGGGAGTTTTGGATCTCATTTCCACCCACTGGCATCAAGGGGGAAGGCAGCCGTGAGGCAACTATACTCCAGAAGAGTGGCTGGAATCACACAGCTCTGCCTACAGCTTGGTGATTTGGCTGCCTGGGCACAATTTGGCAAGATCTGAAGCTCTCGACTGTAGCCATGCCAAGTGCTCCCACTGAAGCATGGGCTTGGTCTTGGGCACAAGCCTCTTGCTTCCTATAAATGGAGCTTGGGTCTCCATGAAATCCCTTGATTCCAAAAAATCGGGGTTGCTGCCCCAGAAGACTTGCTCTTTCTTCCTCATGTGAACCCGAGGCTTGCCCACAGGTCACAGGGATGAACTGAGATGTGCTCCTCCAGGGCCTCCTCCTCCTCCTTCTCTCCTCAGTCCTCCCTCTAAGCTTATCCCTCTCTGAATTGTTCTCCAAGGTAAGTGATCCACAAGCTCTAAGAGAAAGGGTCACTGGGGAGACATTAGACACCAGCACAGGAAGCATTTCCCAAGTTGCGGCATGGAGCTCTGTCCACTGAACCCACCCGGCAGGGATGCCACCATGGAGCAGGAGACTTGTCATGTCTCTGTCATAAACTCTGGACCACCATGTTCCCTGGGTGTGTCACACAGCACGGATCCTGAACGGGGCCATTAGAATACTTACGGAGAGGGAATGCATCTGAGCACAGGTCAGAGGAAAGCAGTTGGGATTTAATGACAGAAAGACAGCTGGGCATGGGAGGGAAGCATCTCATCCCAGCACTTTGCAAGACCAGGCAGGAAGACTGCTATGAGTTCAAGGTCAGCTGATGCTGCATAGCGAGTTCTAGGCCAGCCTGGGCTATTGTGGGAGATCCTGTCTGATCATAAAAAGGTGTTACCCACCCCCACACTCCATCCTCAAAGCAGAAAAAAATGCCATAAAAAAAACAGTTACTGAAAGACAAGAGAGAAAATGCCTAAAATCCATTGAGGATACGTGGGAGGCATTTTCTTATTGTTGTACTAGGGACTGAATCCAGGGACTCATGAAGGCTAGACAAGCAACTGGTCATCAAGCCACACCCCAGCCCCTCACTGGGGGATTCTAGGCAGGTGCTCTACCACTGAGCCACACCCCAGCCCCTCACTGGGGGATTCTAGGCAGGTGCTCTACTGCTCCAGTCCAGCAGATTGTCCCATGAGAGCAGCATCACATTATTGACTAGATCCAGAGAAGTCCATTGTGTTGCTTGGGAGATTGGAGCTAGACACAGAGCCAGGGAATTGTATTGGTCACGTTTGAGAAAGGAGAAAGAAATAGGCGGTTTTGAAGATTCTTGGTAGAAGCTTAAGATGGACCGGAAGAAGCAAGGGTAAGTCCAACCATAACAGAGGACAGCCCCACCTAGGGCTATCACAAATCAGCACTCAGAGAAGCAGGGACCATTTCCCAGAAGCCCCTAATTTCACATAGCAACTCTGGGAAGTGACCCCTGTAGTCATTCTCATTTGACAGTAGGTGACAGAAGCTGCATCCATTCATGGTCCAAGGGCCCGGGGTGCCTCAGCCAGAACAGAGAGAGCCAGGGCCTGGCTTGCTGGTCAGGGTCTATCTTGTATTTGCTTCCTGACTGATGCCTGGAAAGCACTTCTCCCAGTCCATCTCTTCCAGACAAGACAGCTGATAAAGTCAGGAACTGGCCCAAGTGACAGATCTGTGACACCTTCCCACCAGCCCCGAAGGCAGAGCAGAGTCATCATAAACCCTTACCTTGTAGCCCAGGATGAGCCCATTCTGGTCCTGCTCAGGGACTGAAGCCCACGTCAGTAGGATCTGGGTGGAGCTCACAGCCTCAGCAGACACATTTTCAGGAGCTGCTGAAGGGACTGCAAAAGAACATGTCACATGATTGCATCAACAGTCTCCAGCCTTCTATGAACAGAGGGATTCACACACAGACAGACAGACAGACAGACACACAGAGACATACACACACAGAGAAACACACAGACATATACACACTGTACACAGACACACACAGACACACACAGAGAAAGACATACACACAGATATACACACAGGCACACACACACAGGCACACACACACACACACACACACACACAGGCTGTCCTTGAAACAGCAGTGGTTCTGAGCATTCTGTGTGGATCAGATAAGCCTGCAGGTGTACAGCACATATGTAAATCTCTTTAATATGAGCAACAAATTCCGTAAATCCTGGGTATTTAGAACTCAATTCTACCTGAGCCTGGTCAGCAAGAAAATGCTCTCCATCTGTTTTGGGTAATAACTTAAAGAGCTGCAGGCTTTTACTCTGAAGAGGAATTCCTCAATTTCATATGGATACGAACTCACTGAGACTGCTAAACATGAAGGTCCCTGAGGGTTGGACAGAGGAGGTGGATGGGGCGGGGGTGATGGACAGAGGACCAGACCCCAGGGATGATGTTTGCTGTATGTGGGTGAGGGGCAGGTGGGGAGCCCTGCCTCACAAAGTTCTGTCTCTAATACCTAATTGAGTCTAATCCCTCCTGATCAGCAGAAGCAGGTGTTATCCACCCCTTTCTGCAGATAAACAGAGAACTAAGGTGGATGTGCTTGTTTGTCTTTTCTATGTTGTTAATGCAGGGGATGGAACTGGGGGGTCTTGCGCATGCCATTGGGCTGCAGCCCTGGGCCTGGAAATCCAAGACTGAAGAAAGTTGCATTTCATTCTAGTTATTGTGGTGTGTGTGTGTGTGTGTGTGTGTGTGTGTGTGTGTGTGTGCATACGAGACCAGAGGGCAACCTTGGTTTTTCTTTTTTTTTTTCTTTTCTTTTTTTTTAATTACTAAGAGGTAGGGATCTGCCAGCCAGATACAGAGGAAGTGGTACTGAGAAGAGGTAACCAGCCACCTGGCAGAAGGCAGAAATTTAAACTTAAGGGGTTTTTTGTTTTGTTTTGTTTATGTTTGTTTTTGTTTTTTTCAAGACAGGGTTTCTCTGTGTTTTTTTTTTTTAAGATTTATTTATTTATTTATTATGTACACAGAGGAGGTCACCAGATCTCATTACCATGTGGTTGCTGGGAATTGAACTCAGGACCTCTGGAAGAACAATCAATGCTCTTAACCACTGAGCCATCTCTCCAGCTCCACAACCTTGGTTTTTGTTCCTTAGTCATAATCCGCTTTATTTTTTGAAACAAGGTCTGTCAGTGGCCGGGGGCTCACAGATTAGTCTAGGCTAGCCGGCCAGTAACTCAATGAGCCCCGGCGATCCGCCTGTCTCCACCTCCCCAGCTCTGGGGTTACAAGCATGGGCTCCAGCATTCAGCTTTTAACATGGGTGAGGGGCTCTAACTCAGGTCCCAACTCAAGTCACTTTACTGACTGAGCCACCATCCCGGCATTATTATTTATCTGTTTTTGAGATGAGACTTGCTAGGTATCAGTATCAATCCAGCCTGCAACTCACTATGTAGCCCAGGCTGGCCTCAAACACCCACATCCTTCCCATTCCATTTCATTTAAACTGTTTTGTTACACAATTGCCTAAAGGCAGTCCTTGTGGTTTTTGACCCTTGTGTACCTAACACAGTTCTCCTACATTTAGGCAATTTTGCCTCATTTAGTTTTCTTTGATGGCACTGACTGTCTCGAGGAGTGTTCCAGGAATCAGATACAATGTGAATATGAACAGCAGTGAACTTTAAAGACAAGTGTTTTTTTTTTTTTTCTTTTTCTTTCTATCAGTGTGTCCCAAGATACCTATGGATGTAGCCCAACACATTTGTAGATGGCAATACATCCAATGTTAGACACTCTGGTAGATAAATCACCACCACTTCAAGAATTTGCTTATGGACCCATTTACATGTCAAAGCCGGCCTACAAAGGAAAGGACAGAGCAGGGAGAGTTCTCAAGTGGTCAGCTGACACACTGCTTCAAAGATGCCTGAAGAGAGCAGAAGGCTCCCCTGGACTTGGGCCTAAAGGTTACACCTTGTCCCAAGGCTTCCATGCTGAAGGAGCGGACCTTTCAAGGCCATCACATCTCAGATGCGTGACAAGGCTTGGGCATCTGTCTATGCCGTGCTGTGTGAGGTGAGCCACTCTGCCAATGGGGCCAAAAAGCTTCACAAGCACACTACAAGCACTCAAGGACAGTGCTCCAGGAAGATCACAGAGATGCAACTGTGAAACAAGGGGGCAGCAGAGGCTGCCGGGGATCCCGAACGGAGCCTCCCATAGAGTGCAGTCCCATGGACCCCTGGACCCGGGCTCAGGCTTCCAGAACTGTGAGGGAGCATGCTTGTTATTCAAGCTGCCATTTGAGATGTTTCTTTTGTTCATGTCTGTCTATGTGTGCACATGTGCATGAGGGTTTGTATTTGTGCGTGCGTGTTTGCGTAAGATAAAATCCAACTTTGGATATCACTCCTCAGGGCAGTGTCCATCTTGGTTTTTGAGACAGGGTCTCTCATGTTTACCTGGGGCTTGCTGATTTAGCAGGCAGACTGGCTAGCGAGCCTAGGGATCCTCCTATATCCATCTCTCTAGCACTGGAATTACAGGCTAGCACCACGTCTGGCTTTTATAGCTGGGTTCTCGAGTTTGAACTCAGGTCCTCATCTCTCCACAGTAATTTCAGACAAATTACTATTACCCATAAGGGCCCTAGACAGTTGTGGAGCTGGATCTGGTCAATATTAGAGCCAGCAGTGTCTATACAAAGAAAAGGGGAAGGGAGGGAGGGAGGTCCCGTCCAAGTCACAACCTAACACAGCAAGCTGCTGGGATGACACTGGGTGTCGGGTGGCATCCACTCTTGCCTCTTTCTCCACCCACAGGAAATCTTTCTGGAGGGGAAATCATGGCAGAAGTTTCTGGCTGTCCACGCTGAGGAACACTAGCTTCCTGTCTAGCACCACAGAGGCAGCATTGTGCCTCTTCCCTCCTAGATTCATGAAGAACCCTCTCCTAACCACTCAGCCTCAGATCACTAGCCAGGACACCCCAAATGTGTCTGTGATCATGCCCCCGAATAAGAAAGCTGTATGTGTACATCCCTCATCCATGCTCTAAGGGTCCCAATAAATTCACTTAGCTCCCCAAGCTGGACTTGGGTAGAACCATCACTTTGGTATGTGGTTGGTATACTGTCTGGGGTGAGCAGTGTTTGCTCTTGTTTCCCTAAAAGAAGCGTGTGCAACAGTCGTTGATGGCTTAACTCAGTTCTCAGAAGTAGAGGACTTGTCTGTCTGGAAACCTGCAGCCACATCTCACTGTGCTCCACCTGCAGGGGCTCCCTGGGGACCTCAAATGCTGCTATGTATGGCTTTGTCTGGAAAACTGCTTACACAGATGCTTATTTTAATTTAATTTTTAAAAAGCGATAAAACGGTACCTTGAATCACTAAGAATGAAGGAGTTGCTATTGGGACAAGTGTGGAAGCATGCCATTTATTAGACTCCATTTTCTGACTTGATTTAAAATAAGATTGCAAATCTCAAACATGTTGTATGCCTGCTACGTCTGTGCTGTGTTCTGAAAACTGTCCCTGTCTGTATATATAGAGAGGCCATCGTCATAGCAACTCAATTGGTCCACCTCTTGGACCCCTACCTGTTTCCTGTGAGGCCAATCTTGACAGCTCTAAGCACCTACTTCTCACTACAGAGCCCCTAACCACAGCATTCACTCACAGGAGGCCCGGCTGCATCCCCAAAGAGCCAGGGTAACCTGGTGACTTAGCCCTGAGCTTTGAACCTTGTAGTTTCCCACCGGGAGAGAGCCTGCTGGGTAGGGTTGTTAAGAACAGGAAATAACATATTGCTAGACTGAAATTTCAGCTGATTCAAATTCCCCTGGGACAAAGCCTACCTTTTTTTTTTTTTTTTAAAGATTCGAAGAATAGTACCCATTATCTGTTCTGAGGTACATTCCACTTCTTCTCCAATTTATCTTAAGTTTTGATATGTTCTTAGAAATTCCCCTTTCATCAAAAACAAAATAGCCCAGCATGCTTATTTTGTCTTTCTCCACCTGTTTTTCTCCCTGCTGTTCACCACTGCTCCTTGTGGTGACTTTTAGGTCTCATTTATCTTTATAATACGTCACAGAGTGTCACAGAACCCATTAGACCACACTTCAAACTATTATTAAACTTCATTTAAATGTGGTTCAGATCGGTTGGTTTTGTTTCTAACCCTTTGGGGCATTTCTGTGGATTATGAGATCATTTACTATTATTATTTTTAAATGTGTGTGTGTGCACACATGTGCACGTACTTGTGGGTAGGACTTCACACGCCATAGCATGCATGTGGAGGTCAGAGGACAACCAGGAGCAGCAATCAGTTCCCTCTATTCTGTGGCTCCGAGGGACTGAACTCAGGTGCCTTTTCTTGATGGCCCTGGTGACATTTTTAAGTCTTGGGGAAGACTGTTTTGATTAACTGATGTGAGAGTGTTTAGACAGAGGTCAGTGGCTTTGGTCTCCTCCCCAGCTCACTCCAGAGCACACTCCCCAGCCTGCAGGGCAGCTCCTGGAATCAGCTCCTGTGACTCTGGGCCCAACAGGAATGATGAGCCATGCCTGTCAGGACGGGGTCTCTCTATGGGGAGGTCAAGTGTTTGGTATTGGTAGAGCCACCGAAGTGAGCGAGCCAAACCTACAGAAAACAGGCACTGAGGCTGCAGCTGAGCTGGTAGCGCGCGGCTCACCTAGCATGGATGAAAGCCCCAGGTCTGACCTCTAGCACTAGGGTGTGGTGCTAATTCACCTGTAATCTCAGTACCAGGGAGAAAGCACAATTAGATTAGGAGTTCAAGGTCACCCTCTGCTACATAGAGAGTTCAAAGCTAATCTGGACTTCGTGAGAATCTGTCTCAAAAAAGGAGAAATTACTGAAATAAAGAGTCCAAATTGCTACAACTGAGGAGGGCATGCTGGTCTGAGGGAGGAGGCTCCCACAGCAGGAGGCTCTGAGAGCTCCATTCAGAAGGCGGGGTCGGGGTGGGGGTGGGGAGGTGAGTCCTCCAGGGCCATCAACACCGCAATGCCATCCAGGGTGTGTTATAATTCACCTGGCACAGAATACAGGGCTGCCATCAAAGTGGAAGCCCACACCCGCTGCTGGTCACTCTCCACTCCTTTCAAACCTCTTTAGGCCAACACAGCTGGGTGTATTCCCCATGTCTATATTTTTGTTTGCGTTGGGCATTTCAGGTCATGAAACCATGTATGCTGTGGTACATTGCATCTGATTTCTTTCACTTAATTCTTTTTTGCAAGGAGCACCCACATAGTTGCAAGCACAAGCATCCCACTCTTCTTATTGTTGATCCCTCCTTTGCATGGACACACAGAACTTTTTTTTTATCCCTTTATTTATCAATTGATGGACAAGTGGGTTCTTGCTACTTTTTGCTATGAACTCTCGTGGGCATGTTCTGGTAGACGGAGGTGTTCAGTTTTCTTGGGTGCTGTGATGACTGATATCAGTTGTCAACTTGACAGGATCTAGAATTCTCCATGAGACACTGGGGCACACTTGTGGAAGACTGTCTTGATTAGATTAGCCCGTATCCTTGCCTGTGAGGATTAGCTAGATTAAGTGTCGATTCTGGGTTTAAGATTTTGCAGCAGGCCAACTGCTACCCAATGTACGAAGCTCTGACTCCTCCATACCCTCGCAAACATGCTATGCGGTGCTTTTTATTTTGACCTTCTTAGGGATATGAAGTGACATCTCCTTATGACTTGGATTTGCATATCCTTCCTGGCTAATGATGCTGAGCCCCTTCCCATGTGACTATTAGCCATTTGTCTCCATCTCTGGAGAACTGTCTGTTCAGACATTTGCTCCACTCTTAATAGGATCATTTGCCTTTTCATTGTGAAGTAAGAGTTCTTGGATATTCATATCCAAACCCCTTGTCAGACATAGCACTTGGAGATATTTTCTTCCCGCTGAGGTTTTCTGCATTTCCTATCCGATATTTCTGATATTCCTATTTAAAGTCCCGGTGCTTTAGTTTTGATGATGCCTGATTTGTCTACTTGTTGTTGTTCTTTGCGCTTTGGGGTTCTGCCTTCAGACTTGTACATTAACTTCTCTCCCAGGAGCGTCCAGACCACATGTACAGTGCATATCAGAACCCACGGCTGACACAGGCACAGGCTGTGTGGCCATCTGTGTCCTATACAGCCTAGGCAGACACAGGTGGATCTCTGTGGCAGGGACTTTGGTCCCCTATAGCACAGCACTGTCTCCACACAGTACTTTGGGTCCTACCTCCAGCATCCATGGAATGACCCTCCTGTCCCTGCCTGGGCATCAAGGGCCAGGTCCTAAAAGGATTTAGTGAAGAGCTGCGGCGAAGATTTCAGTCAATAAAGTGCTTTGATTCTCAGTATTCATATTTTGTTTTTAAAGCATGGGGACTCCTGGAGAGATGGTTCAGGAGTTAAGAGCACTGGCTGCTCTTCCAGAGGACGCAGGTTCAATTACTAGCACCAAGAGAGCAGTTTACAATGGCCTATAACTACAGTTCCATGGGGTCTGATGCCCTTTTCTGGACTCGGTAGGTACCAGGCACACAAGACATACATACATGCAGGCAAAACACCTATACATGTAAGGAAAAAAGACAGGTGTGATGGCTCTTGATTGTAACCCCAGTTCTGGGGACTCCGAGACAGAAAGATCCTCACTGCTCAATGGCCAGCCAGTCTAGAGTAATCGGTGAATTCCGAGTCAATGCGAGACCTTGTCTCTAAGAAGGCTGACCTCTGGCCTCCACCATGTTCATGCATACACGTGTACCTGCACCTATGCACACAGACATGCACACACATGAACACACAAACTACTAGGGAAGATTCACAGTGGCCATTCCAACACAGCTCTTGCTGCTATGGGCGATTTTGCTGTTTTTCCTTTCTGTCCATTGATAAATTTAAAACTTCAAAAACTACTTTTTATCCAAGGCTTTCTAGTTTTCTATCCAAAGTTTTGTTTCTTCAAAGAAATATTTTCTTGGCCTGTCTATTGCTGGGTTTAAAACTATCCTTTAAAAATGTCTCCAGTTCCCTTCCTGTCACAAAGACTCAGCTGATGAAGATGAAAGTGTTTTAGAGCGTCCACGTGGTCACAGCCAAGTGGATCGCTGATACCATAAAAGCTGCAGCTGGAAGAGAGCCCTGGCTGGTCTTGGCAAAGCCCTCTCTAAATCCCGGTTGCCACAATGGTGATTCTTCAGGGGCCCTTACTGGGGGTTGATGGGTTCCCTTACATGTGCTGTGCAATCAGGGTGTTCTTTGAGACTGAGATGTGGCTCTCCCAGGACCTGGGTCTCATCTCCATGCACAAACTGAGCATGGTGGGAGCACACCTGTAATTCTAGCACTTGTGACTGATCCCATGGTAGAGCAGAGCCTGGATCCTTGAATGAACAGCCACCAACAAACAGCAGCCCCACCTCAGATCCAAAAGAATGAGACGTCAACTGCCCCTGTGATGAGCCTTTCAGGGGTTCACTTCCTACTGCAGCCAGACCCTTGCACACACTGTCTACCTTCATTCATGGAGTGCAGGGCCCGATGCCTGGTGTATTAAGGACGTCTCATAGGAAATTTCTGCTTTTTATCATTGGTAATAAACATTATCATTAACTTAAAAAATCATAAAATAAGCCCAGCACCTGTTAAAATTCAAAGGAACGCCTGTGAGTAGGTGATGGTTAATATAGGTTGTCAACTTGATGGGTTCTAGAAGCAGCTAAGAGTCAAGGGCCTGGGCACACCTGTGAAGGATTATCTTGAGTAGGTTGGTCTCTGGCTGGCCATGTGCCATGTCTATGAGGGATTGGGTTAACTAAGATGGGAAGGACCACTTAGGAGGCAGCATCTTTCTCTGTTTGGGGTCCTGGACAGGATATAAAGCAGAAAGTGAGCTGAGCACCAGCATCCATCTCTTTCTGCTTCCTGACTGTAGACGCCATGTGACCAGCTACTTCCTGTTCCTGTTGCCAGGCCTCAAACTGTGAAACAATGTAACATCTTCTTCCCTTAAGTTGCTTCTGTCAGCCTGTTTTCATCACAGCAGTAGGAAAAAACAAAACAAAACAAAAACAAACACTAAGGCAGTCAGACAAAGCCTGTCTAAGCCAGGGTTAGGAATATACCAACTCAGACACAGGTGAGACACAGAGAGACTATTACCCAGGGATGTGGAAATCCAGGGCCACCAAACTCCTCTCTACCGAGACAAGAGACGACCTTGTCTCTGTAGCTGCATTTCCTCCCTCTCACCTGACTCCCGTGTGCGACCGCGCACCAGCTCACTCCAGGGGCCAGCCCCAATGGCGTTGAAGGCCTGCATCCGCAGTTCGTACTCTGTCCACTCCTCCAGCTCCTCGATGGTCAGCTCCCTCTCCAGTCGGTCATTGACAACTTGGGCCAGCGCTGAGGATGGTTGGTCTGAACGCCAGTACTTCACCCTGTAGCCCACAGACTCGGGGTTCCCATTGTACTGGGAATCAGGCAGCGGCTGGCAATGAATGACAGTCTGGCATGAGTGGACACCTCCTAACTGTCACCTTTAAAGGTCTTCAAGAGCAAACCCATCCTATGGGGCCAACTCCATGGAAACCATTTTCTTAGGTGAATTTTTCTGGAACTTTCTAGAGTGTGTGCATGCACACACATGTGGGCCATATGCATGTGTACATGTTCATATTAATGTTTTGTAGAGGTCAAAGGGCGATGTTCATTGTATTTTTTGAGGCAGGGTCTCTCACTGAACCTGGAGTTCACTGACTTGGTAAGACTACCTGGCCAGCAAGCTCTAGAAAATCCTCCAGTCTCCACTCCTCAGTGTTAAGGTAACAGGTGGGCACCCTAATGTCTGGATTTTTACGTGGGTGCTGGAGGGTCCTCATGCTTCTGTAATAGGCACTTTACACACTGAGCCACATCCCCCTGGCCTCATCCCAGCAACTTTCTGCTTTACCCTCCCTGAAAACTTTTTTTCTGTTAATTCAACAAAATTCTTTTAGTGACTTTTGCTGGAAATAATTTCCTTTAATATAAATTTGGTTTAATTTTGAGGGAGAAATGTTCTGATTAAACACGGGACTGGTTCTCTTATGAATGTTGAGTATTGGTTCTATGTTGATCATGCTCTTTCCTGAAAGAGCACCCTGAGGTCCAAGAAGAGAGAATGCTACCAATTAATAAGAAATCCGGGGCTGCTCTGTGATCTTACACTAATCGTGCAATGTCATACTTTGTGGTCTAACAATCAGATTGGCTTTGATGAAGGAAACAACCTGAGTGTGGTATGGCTAAGCTCTGATTCCCAGGAAGGCCTGGAAGGCACAGGTAGTGGCTTCCACCCCATAGTCTCCAACTTACCACCCAACGTAGCCGCAGGCTGGTCTCACTGGCTGTTCGGACAGTGATGCTGGTCGGAGCCACATCAGGTGGGGCCTGCAGGGTCTGGATGACCCGGGATGACTGGCTGAAGGGGCTGGGACCTACGATGTTCACTTGCCTCATTCGAAACCTGAGGTGAAACCATGAACTGCTGTTACATCCAAGCAAAAGCTAACAGAATGGAACAAGGTGCTCCTCACGCACATGTCTTTCTGGACCACAGAGGCCATCATTCACGGACACCTACCTCTGTGGGTGAAGAATGCAGATGCCATCTATGGTCTCTGTGATGGGTGATGTTAACTGTCAGTTTGACAGAATCTAGAATCATTTGGAAGACAGCCCCTTGGGAATACCTACAGGGCTTATCTTTAGTAGCTTCATTGAAGTGGGAAGACCTGCTCGCTGTGGGTGGCACTGACCCTGATTGGGATCCAGGACTATGTAAGTGGAAAAAAAGAAGAGCATGCATTCACTGCCTTCTGCTTCCTGCTGGTGGGTGCCATGTGACCAGCTGCCTCACTCTCTTGCTGGATTAGCTTTGTCACTACTATGGCCTGGACTTGAATTGTGAGTCAGAGCAAACCCTTCCTTCCTTAAGATGCTTTTCTCGGGGGAATCTTATGACAGCAATAGGAAAACAAGAAGCCATTTTCCCTAAAAGCCTCCAGTGAATGACCTCATGTGACTCAGTATGATTTAGTTCCCAGGTGAAGGAGATTTGATAGAGACGATGGGTGGAAATTTAAATGGTCAGTTGCCATTGGCTGACTCAAATTCAGGGTAACCTTAGGGGAGGAAGATCATTCAAGAGAGCCCAATGTCACAATGTTGCCACCAAACACAGTTTTGAAAGTCCAGTGTTTTGAATGGTTAAGGGCATTGCCATAGCCCATGCCTATCCTGGCATGGAGCACAGTGGAAAGTTCATGTGAGGCCTCAATCAGAATTACCTCTACTTTCTTATAAAGTACGGGCCATGAGTATGCTAAGCAAAAGGGCTCTACCACTGAGCCACACCCCAGCCCCTCACTGGGGAATTCTAGGCAGGTGCTCTACCACTGAGCCACACCCCAGCCCCTCACTGGGGAATTCTAGGCAGGTGCTCTATTGTTGAGCCATGTTCTCAGTTCTCTTTTAACTTTTGAGATAGAGACTTGATATATTGCCTGGCCTGATCTTGAACCCTCTCTGTAGCTCAGGAAGGCCTTGAAATTGCCATCCTCCTGCCTCAGCCTCCTCAGTAGCTGGTATGACAGGCTTGTACCATCACACCTGCTGTGTCTTCTCTCTATATAATTATTTAAACTGAAATTACATATAACAAAAACCCCAAGCAAGGGCACATAATGCTTGTTTCAGAGTCTCCTAAATTAATGCGACTTTAAGACAGGGGCATTGCTTTCTTATCACCATTTCTGATCTTTGGGATAATTACACAGTCGTATGTAATTCCACACGTCAAATCTTGAATCCTGCAGCTCATTGAAGCTACATGTTTTTCTCTTAAGGATTGAGTATATTGTGTCTTGACTCATCTGCTATAATCTTAGGATGAGTGTTCAAATGAATAGACTCAAAAACATCTCTCACTAGACTTAAAAAAAATTCTAACTTTGGTATTGTACTGAATAGATGTTCTTCATGAAGATGTAATTTCACCTTTCACTCTTTGAATTCCTCATTCTTACTCCCTCATTCCCCCCGATTATACTGAATGTATCTATCCTGGCAGAACAATGACATTATCAAACTCAACATCTGGTGATAACTGGAAATTTCATCTCTTGCTCTGATGTTGCGGGAACCGATAGCATCGCTAACAGCTCCCGATCACGCTACCCTCTGTGAAGGCTGGGGATTTACTGCCAGGGGAAGTGGCAGGATCTAGAAGCAAAAGGTTAAATGCCATGTTAAGCACTTGATTAGCGAGAAGAGAAACTCCAGGGTCATGAAAGAGGGAAGCAGAACGGGGTACCTGGGACATCTGCTTCGTTAAGAGTCTGCGGCCTCTGGTTCCTGGTTTTTTCCTAGTGAGCCCTTTCTACAGTGTGCTTTGATGGAAACACATGGCCAGCTAACACCCAACCACACACTGCTTCAAACGATATTCAAACTGTGTATCTTGCTTAAGGCTTTTATGTGTGTACTGGTTTTAGCTACTTACAGAATTCCCCATGCTTATAGAATCTGTTGTGTGTGTTATATACATGTGTGTGTGTGTGTTGTGTATATATGTGTGTGTGTCTTTATGTTTTGATGCACCAATATAGGTGTGCCTGTGGAATCCAGAGGTTGGCATAGGATGCTTTTCTCTATCACTCTCCATCTTATTTTTTGAAACAGGGTCTCTCACTGAACCTGGATCTAACCACTTCAGCTAGATCGGCTGGCTAGAAAGCCCCAGGGCTGGGATTATGGGCATGTGCCATAGTCTCCAGGCAGGTTTAAAGGGCTCCTAGCAAGGCAAACTCAGGACCTCACCAGCTGAACCATCTCCCCAGCCCTCTGCTTAGAGAATTCTATTTTCCACCTGACATCTGGTTTCTCACACTACAAACACGGTCAGCTTCAGCCACTACCCACATGCGGTTCTCACCTGTAGTGTGTGTAGGGTGTGAGGTTTGGAATTTCCAGCGTCTGGGCGTCAGGCTCGTTCTCTTCCTCATAGAGGGTGACCCACTCCTCCTCGTCACCGATGGCCCCGACCTGTGGAAAGAGATCCTGCGATGGACTGGGCTCACCATGGTGACCAAGGCTGCTTGGTATTCTGTACGCATCTACTGGGTATAATGGGCTGAGCACAGCCACCGTGTAGCTCACACCTGGGAGCTCCTGGTTCCTGCACACACACCCATGGAGATTCAGACTCCTGTTATTCTCAGTGCACATGACATCTGGGAAGGTTTAGTTCAAAACTCAAGAACTTGGCCTCAAGAGAGCCAGCCCTGCGGCTCAGATCCTGGGTGATGGAGAGGATCATCCCCACTGCCGTGTCCTTTTCTCATCCGACAAGAGAGGCTCAGGAAGGAAGACTCAGGTAGGACCCACAGTGTGCAGTGATGACGTCCTCCTTGCTAGGGTCCAGAGCCACTGACAACACTTGCTGGCCCCAGGGCACCACCTGACCTTTCCCTCCCCAGCATACACCACAGTGGCTGCACTGGCTGGCATAAGGAAGTGCTTGTGGAAGTCCTGCACGCAGGCCTTGTCTCTTCTGACAAAGGACGCTGGGAGCTGGCGAGATGACTCACCAGTAAAGTGCTTGCTGCACTACACGGGGACTTGAGATCTGATCCCCAGAAGCAGGCCTGAGGGCTGTCAGATGGCTCAGGGGCTAAGAGCACACACTGTACTTGCAGAGGACCTGAGGTGAGTTCCCAGCACCCGCATCAGCTCACAACCACCCGCAACTCCAGCTTCAGGGATCTGATGCCCTCTTCTGGCCTTTTAGGGCACTGCACTCAAGTATCCCTATAGACACATACACATACACATACACACATAATGTATTTTTAAGCCAGGCATGTTGGCACACATTTGTAATTCCAGAGCTTGGGAGGTGGAGACAGACAGAGTCTTGGGGTTCTCTGACCAGTTAGCCAAGCTGAATCAATGAGCCCCATGACTGTCTCAAAAAACAAAACAAAACAAAAACCTCCCCCCAAACCAAAATTGACAGTGCTCTGAAAAAAGGACACCTGAGGTTGACTCTGGTCTCTACACACACACACACACACACACACACACACACACACACACACACACACTCAGATGTGTACACACATAGGTGAACACATGTACATGCACACTTATGTGTACACACACAAACACATGTGAACATATGAACACATGCATATATACTCAGATGTATACACATACAGGTGAACACATATACATGCATACTTATGTGTACACCCCCCCATACACCTCCATACACACACAGAAGTACCTCAGGGCAGAGCTGGTCTGAGGAGCACCACTCTTTACAGACACTTGTCCCTTCCAAGCTGGCCTGTGAGGCCCCATTGGGCATCCCTAGAACTCCCCCAGTATCCCCCTCTCCTGGGAACGATATGTCCATGGCTTCCTTGGTTAGCAATTGTACACTCACACTTCCTGTGACCTCTAACCTGACCCTAGTTGCTTGCTCTGCCTAAGAAAGCCCCCAAACAGCTTCATCTACCCTGTTGATGACACCCTGGGGTGTCCCGGACAGAACGCACAGAGGACATGGCTGTGTGCTCCAGCCTGTGGCTCCTGTGAGCAGTCTGTTGACTTGTGCAGCTCATGTGGCTGTGTGACCCTGGGGATCATGGTATACAACAGAGGGTGTGCTGAGAGCCGGTTCAGCCAGGCTCAGTCCTGCCCTGGCATCTAATGCTCCATAAGTGACTTAAATGACAGGGCAGGCCTTGTGCTCATTAAGTTCACAGAGGAAGACAACTTGGCAGGTGGCCAAGCCACAGAGGTGGGGTGCTGAGGCTTCATGACGACCTTGGTAAGCTGCAGAAATGATGTGAAGGATGAAGGACAAGGAGGGACCAGTAAGCAAAAGCGAGCAGCCTGCGATGTGGGGAGTCTAAACTAAAGCAGGAAAACGGCTGCAGAAAAGAGTCAGAGTGTCATATGAGACCCAAACGTCCATTCTAGTCTCCACTCAGCAGAGCTGGGAGACACAGGCATACACCGTACACTAACGCACACACCTGGACGCACCTGCACACACAGGCAAGAACCTGCACACACCTGTATTCACCTGAATTGAACTATATGCATTTGTGCACACATGTATGTATCTGCACATATCTTGTATACTTGTATGTGTATGTATGCATCCATACACATGTACACAGTGGCATCTATATATCTGAATGTATCTGTATACATGTAAATACCTTCACAAAGCTGTATGTAGCTATACACACCTGAATTCACCTGAACATGACTATATGTATGTATACACACATGTATGAACCCACATATACCTGTGTGTACTTGTGTATGTATGTATGTATGTATGTATCCACACATGTACACAGTGGCATACACTTGCACACATCTGTATGTACCTGCACACATAGGTAAGTACCTGTATACACCTGAATATTATTGTATGTATGTGTGCACACATGTATATACCCCACACACCTGTATGTATTTGTATATGTATATATGTATCCACATACATGGCATACACTTATATATATACCTGTATGCATCTGCACACATACACATACCTGCACATGCCTGTACTTACCTGCATACAATTGTGTGAACCTGCACAGTACATACCAGTTCACAGTGCTCTGTGCACCACAGCCCAAGAGTAAAATTGAGGCACATATTCCCAAATGAAGTGGCACAGGGCACTGGCACTGGCATCTGCTTTTATGTGGACAGACTTCAGAAACATTGGGCTGGGTAGAAGCCTGTCCCCAAGTCCACATAGCATGAGAGTCTCCTTTATAAAATGACTGGGGTGGGGGGTCAGATGTTTAATGAGAAGGGGGTGGGGAGAGAGGGAAGCAGGGGTGGGGAGGGAGGGAAGCTCTTGGAGATGAGTTTTATATGCTGAGATGCGGTGGAAGCAGAAATACGCTCTGAGTCTTCTACCTTAGGAATGGTCCTCTTTAAAATGGCAAAATTTGTGTTCTGTGCATTTCATCTCAATTTTTAAAAGAAGCATTAAAATTTAAGGTGGGATGCTGTCCAGGAACACCTGGCAGAGAACGAGCTGGAGGTCAGAGAGGCTAATGAGCAGCTGGGATTCTGTGAATGAGCAAAGCTGCTGAACTAGGGGGAAGATGTGGCCACCTGCGAGGCTGGAACAGGGGAGTGCTCTCAACCACCACAAATCTTGGTGGCTCTGGAAGTTTAGCCTCTATTCCTGCCACCTGGGCTCCACAGAGAGGGGCCACTGCTGTGTCTTTTCCCACCCGGGCCTTCTGTGCTGGCGAGGGGGCAGCAGATGCACAGTGACTTTAACTGATCCCCCAGGTCCCTGCAGCGTGACTGAATGCTCCTGTCTCTGCCTGACTTTGCCCCCCCAGCCCCATCTTTACAAACCCTCCTTGAAGGAAGGCTGGTTCTAGGCATCCTCTGGGTCCTCCTCTGCCTTGATGCCCAGCATGTTTGACTCAGTCCATCTTCCTTCTAGGTCCAGGCACATCTCTGTAGGGCTAGGTGTTTCCTGGACCATGTGGATGGCTCCAGCACTGGCCTCCCATGATAAGATGGCTCTTGGCCATCTATGCTTCTACAGGGACTGCATGGATCAGGGTGGTGGCTCTGGGACTCAGGGCCATCCATCATGTGACCAAGAGGGTTGGAAGGGCAGTGACAACCTTTGAGCTGCTACTCAGAGGAGAGGGTGAGGCATGGCTGGCTGCTGGAAGGGCAGGAAGACGGGGAGACAGGCAGCTCGAGCTGTTTGCACTGAGCACAAGAGTCAAAGCCAGCAGGACAGGGCCATGGTCCCCACTTACTTCTCCCCTTAAGTCAGACAGTATCGTGGGAGAAGACAAAGGTCTTCCCTTTTCGAGTCCCCACGTTGCCACTGTCCCATAGCTGGTGTCTACAAAATGGAGGGATGTCTGGTTCATTTCCTGTCTTCCATTCTGCTGAGTTCAATACAGAACTTCCAGGCTACAATCAAGCCAACTGAGATAATGGAATAGGACTAGGGTGTGACCCACACATCCTTGACCTTTCCCATGCCAAGTCCCATTTGTGCAGGTCTCTGATTTGGAGATGGGACAGTGACTGACAGACTCTCCAGACGGCTCTGCCGTCATATTCCCTAATCACTGTTTGTCATTACCTGAAGGTACCACATGGCCTTGAGCACCTGTGTCCATGCAAAGCTCTTGAATCTGGTCCCAACATGTCTGCTCCTTCTCCTGCCTTCTCTAGGCAACTGCCAGAAGCTTCCTTGAACTGCTTCTACTTTCTTGCTCCCTCTTCTGGAAGCCTCCATGAGCAGCCTCCTCTGCTTTATTGCTTCTGGAAGCCTCTATAGATAGCCACCCCGCCCCGTGCTCTCTGTCTCCCCCTTCCGAAAGCATCCATAGACAACGTCCAGGGACAGCTCTCCATCTCTGACCAAGCAGATGGTGTGTGATGTCCCCATCTTGTGCACTCAGGCTGCCTTCTGCCTACCTCTGACAGGGTCAGTGCGTGATCCTCAAGGGTAACTCATACAAATAGTGTGTGTGTGTGTGTGTGTGTGTGTGTGTGTGTGTGTGTGTGTGTGAAAACTCATTTTGCTTATCAAAAAGGGACCCAGCAGGATGGTAAAATGGGTTTGGAGGAGAATATGACTCAAAATCTGGAGCGTCAGTAGGAGAAAAAATGTCCAGGCTGGACAGATGGCTCAGTCAGTAAAGTGCATGCCACACAAGTATGAGGACCTCAGTTCGATCCTTGGGAACCCATGTAGAAGAGCCAGAAGCTAGGAATGGCATGTTCCTGTAATCTCAGAGCCAGGGAGGGGGAGGCATGAGGATCCTTGCTGTCCAGCCAGCTTGGTCTAATTGGTGAGTTCCAGGTTCAGTGCGAGTCTGTCTCAAAGAAGATGGTGAAGAGTTGACCTCTGGCTTCAATATGCATATTCATAAAACACCCCAAATACGAACATACACAGTAAAGAAGACAAAGATATTAGAAAGCTGGTTACAGGAGCAACATAACCCTAACCTGTAGCTTAG